CCTGGGCCGTTGTCGTCGACCTCCGCGGCCGAGTCCGAGCAGGACGCAGGAGGAGGGGGCTCGCCTTCTCCGTAGTCGGGTGACTCCACCTTCTCCGTGGGGGGGATCACGTCTTCACCGCTCTCATCCTTGACCGTGTGGTCGGGCGGGTCCGGGAGGCCAAGACGGGAGTCATTGTCTCTCGTGCCCAGGGACTTGTCTGTGTCGGCCGCCGTAGGGGTGTCAGGCCTGTCCTCATTCATGGTCTGCACGACTGGTGGAGGTGACTCGGCCAGGGAAGTGATGGACGTGGAGGCGAGGGCATCGGCACTGAGGCTGAGTAGGAAGCTCGTCAGCGTGCCCAATTCGTGTCTGATAGGACTAAGGCCACTTGCCGGGGCCAGGGTTGTGGCGTACCTCACCCAGGCCTCCCTATGCGTCTCGCCCTTGGTGAGGTGGGCGACGACTCGCGCCGCGGCCACACACTTGCCCTCCCAGCGCTGGTTGGGCGGGACGCAGTTCCCAGGAATGCATTGGCCGTGCACCGTCCGGAGAAACTCAGTCAGACGTCCGTCCGGCCAGGAGTTTTCATCACAACTATGCTCTGGGATGTTGCTGTCGCGGTTGGTGAAACAGAACTGTCTCCAGGTGAAGTCCAGCCCAGTGTGGAAGTCACGGAGGTAGGTCACGAGCTGTCGCTGTGCGGGCAGTCCTCCACTGCCTGGTCCGTCCCTGGGGTCGTTTGGGCTCAGCGTGAGGTTGTTGACGTCCCTGTTGTCCAGGAGCGGGGCCTGGTGTACTGGCAGATCTGGCAGGAGCTCCATGAGCTGTGCTAGGGACCTGGGAGCTCGCTCAGCTGCGGCGGCCGCGCCACTCGCGGCGGTAGACCCAGGGAGGTTGCTCGCTCCGGCCTTGGCGTCCGCGCCTAGCCACGGGAGGGAATCCCAGATGTCCACTGATACATCAGCTCCGATCTGGCTACGGAGCGTCGGAAGGACAGGGGCCTCGGCTGGGTATAGCGCTCTGAAATGCCGATCCAGGATGTGGTCCAGGGAAGCAGGGCCGATGTTCCATACAGGGACCAGGCATCGTCGACAGCACCAGGTGGCGTTCCACTTGCGCTCCCACCAGGCTATGGCTCGTTTGTCGATGGGAGGCAGCCCGGCCTGCTCAGGCACCCCTATCCCTTCCGCTGGCTTCCATATGAAGCAGCCCAGGGGCGGGGCTCCTGCTTTCCAGACGAGGAGGGGAGCCCCCGGGGTGCATGTGTCGCACCGAGCGGAGTATCTCTGGCTCTGGGCAGCTTTGAGGCCGAACCGCTCGTCTCGGATCCGTAGGATGGGAATGGTGGTGTTGGCGCGCTCAGGGATCTTCATGCCCATCGGCGTCATGATGAGGTCCGATAGCGTTCTGGTGTCCGCCTGGGGGCTGCATCCGTAGCCGAGTGGGAGGTGGCCCAGGGAGGGGAGAGCATCCGCCTTGTCATTGCTTTCTGCTCGGGGGCGAGCCTTTCATCAGGAATGTAAGGAGGGTCCTGTTTGGTGCCAGGGGCGGGGGTGGACGGCAAGGGGGCGTTGAGGTCGGTATTGGATAAGGCGCATCCGCCGCCAATGTATGCAAGCCCCGCACGTCGATCGTCGGCGCCCAGGGAGGCGTCGGTTCCCGCCAAGGCAAGGTGTAGCGCGCACACCAAGCAGCGGTGCGTACCCAGGGAAGTCAGAGTGGCGGCCGGGACGATCCTCTCGAGGACGAGCATCGGCGCTTTCAGCGGGAAATCCTGCCTGTCCAATTCACTCCAGGTCTGCGGGCAGCCAGCAGCCCGCGCATTTGGGTGGTGGTGCGCCACCGCCACGAGCTTGGAGATGTGGGGCAGGATTGCCTCGATGCGGCCGTGGAGGTCGGCTAGGTCGTCTAACGTGAGGCTCCAGGTTCGTGCAAAGTCGTGCCGGAAGCCTTGATGAGCCTCTTGCCAGGGGACACAGAAGCCCAGGATTGCTTCGATAACGTCCCCGGTCTGCTCTGCGTGAGAGAATGGCCACAGGAAATCGCGCGGCTCGCGAAGCATGAGCATCATGACGACCAAGAGCGACCGGGCTTTGCAGGATTCCATAGGGAGGCCGTCGGTGTCTATGATTCCCTTACGGGTCCCGTTCTGCTTGGAGCCATCGGACGCGCCACGGAGGATGTCCTGCAGCCCTGCCATTCCAGGGTGCTTCCTGTGCCTGCAGCAGTTCTTAGTAGAAGTGCTCCAAGCCTTGGGAACCTGCGGGAAGAGCCCCTTGGGGGTACACTGGCGTCGCTCCCAGAGTGTTACCCGCCTCCCTTTGACGTGAGGCAACGGTGGAAGGGAGTCGTCGTGGATTGCGTAGTTCGCGTCAAGCCAGGGGGTGCCCAGGCCGAGTGTCCACGCCATTGCGGCCCAGAGCATTGCGGCGAGGAGGAGGAGGAGAAGGAGAAGGAGGAGGAGGAGGAGGAGGAGGAGGAGGAGGAGGCCTCTTGGGAATCTTTTGGGTTGGGGGCGTGCTGGTCTCTTGGGAGGCCTCCTCGGGGGCCTCGTGGGGGCCTGCTGACGTTCTCCCTCTTCAATCCATTTTGGGGTCATGTTGGGGCCCTCTTGGGCCCTCCTGGAGGTGTCGGGCTTGGAGCCTGCGTCGGCTGTCTCGGGGCCCTCTCGGTTACCTCTTGGGCCGTCTTGGGGGCGATCTTGGGTTCCTCGTGGGACGTCGCGGAGCGCTGGGAGATTGAGAGAAAATGACGCGCGAACATTTTTCAGGCAATCCAGCAAAATCAAGGATTTTCGTTTCTCGGGACCCTCTTGAACGTACTCTTGGGGCTCTCTTGGAGCGTCTTGGAGGCATCTTGGCCCGCTCGGAGGCCATCTTGGGCGTCGTGGACCGATCGTTCGGCGTCTCGGAGCCCTCTTGTACCGTCTGAGATGCCTTTTCCCTTGCAGTGCGAACCCTGCCACGAAGACCTTCGGTGGACTCCCCTTGTGGGCCGCGAAGAGTGTGCGTGGCGTGCCGAGATGGGTGGAGCAGCGCCGTGCAAGCTCTGCTAGTGGGGCCTTCGGTGAAGCTCCCCATGGGGCCACGAAGCGAGTGACGGGTGTGCGACATGTGCGGGGCGGCGCCGGTCGAACCCTGCCACCTGGCGCCCCTTGTGGAGCCCCCTGTGGGGCCACGAAACGTGTGAGGGGTGTGCTGAAATTTGCGGGACGGTGCCTTGCGAACACTGCAGCGGAGGCCTTCAGCGGACATCCCTATAGGGCTACAAGGCGTGTGAGGGGTGTGTCGAATGGGCGAGGCGGTGCCATGCCGGCCTGGCGCCCTTGGTGGGGCTCTTTATGGGGCCACGGAACGCGTGATGAGTGTGCCGAATCGATGGTGTGGATTGCGATTCAGACGACGATGATGGAAAGGGCGAGGACATGATGGGCGGAAATGTTGAGGTCTGGACTTCAGAACACAGGTGTGCGAGATAGTTATTCGGCGCGGATATCACCATGTGTGCATCGCGTTCCCTAGCTGTTTCCGCTGCCAGTATCTTGTGTTGAGTGTATGGGTGTTGCGTGTCAGTCCGAGTGGACGACGGGCACGACGACGACGACGACGGCGGTGGCGGCTACGACCAGGGACAACGATCACGACGACGGCGACGAGTCATAGACAGATGAGCGGTGTACAGGCTACCTCCCATCTCCGTCTTCTTCCTCTTCGTAGCACCTCCACCTCCCTTCTCTCTCCCCTTCCTTCCTCATCCTTCCTGGCGGCGGCGATTCTCCTCCCTCCCCCTGCGTCCTCCTCCCTCCTCCTCGTCCCCTCTCCTCCTCCGTCCTCCTCCCTACGCCTCCCCGGCGAGTGCTCTGTCCTTGGCTACCTCCTCCCCTCCCATTCCTCTTCCTCGTCGCAGCCCCTCCCTTCTCTCCCTCCCTCCTCCCTCCTTTTTCCTGCTGCGTTCTCCCTCCTCCTCCTCAGGGGCCGTCGCTATCCTTGCAGTGGGGTGGTCATGAAGCTCTGCCCGGACAGGAGCCCCGGGGGGGCAGAGGGAGCGCCCCGCTGGAGGGGTGCAGCCCCGCAGTGCGAGCGAAGCGCTCGAGACATCCCGACGATCTGGCCGCTGGCGGCTCGACATTGGGGTCCTCCTCCTCCTCCTCCTCCTCCTCCTCCTCCTCCTCCTCCTCCTCCTCCTCCTCCTCCAAGCAACCAAGCAGGCAAACCTCCCCACAATCTGGGCGCGAACGGGCCCATGCCGCCAACCCTGGCGGCTTCCTCTTCGAGAGTGCTGAGACCAGCGCCTCGCTCCAGACATCTTCACAATCTGCTGTGAGCAGGGGAGTCCACGCAACAAAACAGGCAAACCGCCTGAGGCATCCCCACAATCTGGGCGCGAACGGGCCCGTGTCAAACACCCAGGCGGCTTCCTCTTCGGGAGTGCTGAAAAAAGCGCCTCGCTCGAGACATCCTCACAGTCAAGCTCATTGTGAGTGAGTCTGAGTGTGAGTGCCTTTGAGTGTGAGTGAGTCTGTATGAGTGAGTCTGAACGCAAGTCTGAGCATGAGTGAGTCTGAGTGCGCGGGAATATGAAAACAAGTGAGTCCGAGTGTGAGCGGCTCCAGGTGTGAGTCAGTCTGAGTGTGAGTGAGTCTGAGTGCGAATGAGTCTGACTGCGAGCGATTAGGAGTGCAGGTGAGTCCACGTCTGAGTTAGTCTGACTGTGCGCGAGCCTGAGTGTGAGAGAGTCTGAGTGGGAGCCTGAAGTGATCGAGTGTCAGTGCGTATGATTCTGTTTGTGAGACAGTCTGAGCATGAGAGTGTCTGAATGCTGATGTGCAAGCTTGAGTAGGAGTGGGTCTGAGCGAGTGCGACATGCGGAGGAGGGGAGGAGCAAGGAACGAGAAGCTGGAGGCGCCCGAGCAATAACTGGAACCCCATCTCAGGATATCCAACGTCGAATGCCGGTGACGCTCGGATGGCTGGTGGGATCTGCACCTGCCCGCCGTTCTTCTCCTCGACCGTCGGCCGAGGCTCCAGCCGAGGCTCCGCCCGGGCGCCTGCGGCAGCTCTCCGCCGCGCCGCCATGGACCGCCCCCCCTCTCGTGATCGAGGGCCCTCCTCCTGTTGCATCCGCGCGCGGGCGTGGGCGGGGAGGATGGAGCGGGGAGCAGCAGGAGGAGGAGGAGGAAGAGGAGGAGGAGGAGGAGGAGGAGGAGGAGGAGGAGGACGAGGAGGAGGGGGAGGAGGAGGAGGAGGAGGAGGAGGAGGAGGAGGAGGAGGAGGAGGAAGAGGGAGGAGGAGGTGTTCGGCGCCTTCGGGCGCTAGTGGCCCCAGGCTTCCGTGGACCCCCGGAGGCCCCCGGAGACGGCGGGAGATCTCGGAGGCCTCCAAGGGCCCTGGTGACCGGTGGCACACTTCTGCGCTGCATGCGCGTGGGTGCGCGGTTTTGCCCGTGCGTGTTTCCGTGCACGCAGCACCCGCGTTGCCCGCCCGCGTTGAATGCAGCGCTCGCGCTTTCTCTCCTTGTCTGGACGCCTACCCATGCGCGTTTTTGCTGTCTCTGTTCATCTGCTGTTCGCCTGACTTCCTTCTGGCTGTTCTCGTATCCTCCTCGTTCGCCTGTGCTTTTCCCTCCCCCTCATCCTCGTCCGCCTTTTCCTCTTCCTCCTCCTCCTCCTCCTCCTCCGCCTCCTCCTTGTTTGACAAAATCGCCCCCCCAGCAAGCAAGTGTCGCCCCCAGGGCCCAAAATACCCATAATGCCGCCCGAGTGGACCCAAGCAGTGCCCAAAGACTGCCCCACAGGCTCCTGAGACGGTTGAAGAGCGGTCCAAGAGAGCTCCCTCGAGGCCCCTGGCATACCAAGATAATATGGTATCTTAGTTTTATCGTTTTTTCGAGGATTTCAACATTGCTGCTCTGTCTTCGTTTATCATAGCGTCCCATACAGTCCAAGAGGCTCACATGATGGGCCCCAGACGGCCCCAAACGACCTCGCGAGGATCGCCAGTCGGTCCTAATATTGTTTACGATGGGTTCAAAGCGGCCCAAGAGAGCCCCCTGACGGCCCAAGATGGCGCCAAGACGGCTGCAAGATATACCCCCTATATAGCCTCGAGGGGCCCCAGACGGCCCAAGAGGTCGCCAAGGCAGCCCACGAGGCCCCCCAAACTAACAAAGGTAGCCCCAGGAAGGCCGCAAGAAGAGCCCCCGAAGGGCCCCGAGACAGCCCCAAGACGGCCGAAACGGGCATTCAGACTCCAATCGCAGTCGAGTGAGTTTTCTATGTATTGTCAGTCACTTCTCCATCTTTTTGCCAGTTTAGCCTTTTCCACAGACATGGTCACAGCGGCGACTCGCCGAAGGTGTCGCCGAAACTCTTCTTCATGCTCCTCAGCCTGCTTCTCCTTCCCCTTCACTTTTTCTCATTGATTTTTTTGTTGCCCTTTGCATGATTATCGTTTTGATTATTGGGGAACTGGCGGTTGTGGTGGGTTGCTCCTGGGAACCTCTTGTGGGGTGCCTTCTGTTGCCCTTTTGCGCGCTTCATGGGGGCTTATGGGGGGCCTCTTGGAGCTTCGTGGAGGATTGTCACGGGCCTCGGGGGGCCGAGGCTCGAAATGCGGGCTCGGGGTCCCTTCCGGGGCCCTTTTTGCGGCGGTCTGGGGGCTCTTCCGGGCCATGTTGGAGGCCTTCTGAGGCCGTCTTTGGGGCCGTGTGGGGGATCTCTTTGCCAGTTTAGGGGCCCTCTTGGAGGCCTCTGGTGCCGTCTGGGGGGAGCTTGGGGGAGCTTCTTGGGCCGTCGTGGAGCGTCGGGAAGGGAAACAGCGAGAGCGCTAACATCGTTCAAAAACGGATTGGAAGTCAATGAATGTTGCCTCGTGGGGCTCTCTTGGGAGGGCTCTTGGAGCCCTCTTGAAGCCTTTTGGGGGCGTCTTGGGCCGTCTAGAGGCTACTTGGCCGTCCCGGAGGAGCTTTCGGCGACTGGGGGTCCTGTTGAACTGTCTTGGGGGCCTGTTGGGTTCGGGGCCCACGGCAATCGCGGCACAGCCCGCATCGACAGCAGCTATTTTCGCGGCTGGCATCTTGAATGCTCGCCGTGCACGCGTAGAGGGGGAACGAGCGAGAACCTACGTGTACTAACGGCGGGCATTTGTTTAAATTCCACCACGGGCGCATCCTGCCACCGCGCCTGGGCTGCGGGTCGGAGGCACGCGCATGGCGGGCGGGGTCTCGTGGGAGGCGTCTCGGGGGCGTCTTGGAAGCAGTTTCTGAACCTCTTGGGGGGCCTCCCGGGGGCCCCTTAGGATTTTTTGGGGCCTCGCGGAGCTCCCTGGGAGCCTGTTCGGGGTCTTTTGGGACAAGCAGGCGGCGGTTCGGCGTAAGATACTCGAACTGTCCGTCTGGGTTCCTCCTCTGGACCCCCTCCTGGCGCTGTCGCGGGGCCCTCCTGGGCTGTCATTGGGGGCTTCTTGAGCGGTCCTGGGGCCCTCTTGGGTCGTCTGAAAGCCCCTTTGGGGGCCTCTTGGGCCGTCTTGGGGAGACCCAGGAGACTTTTTGTGCTGTCTCGGACGTTGTGATCGCAGACGAGGCGGATGCGTAACCATGGAGGTTTCCCAGGGAAGTGGGGAGAATTTGGCTCTTTGAGATCCTCTTGGGATGCCTCTTGAGGGCTTCTTGGGGCGTCTGGAGGCCAGCGTGGGCGCTTTTGGTCGATCTTTCGGCGGCTCGTGGCCCTCCTGGACCGTCCGGAGGGTCTCTTGGTGCCCCCTTGGCGTGTTTTTTGATGTTTTTTGAGTTGTTTTGGGGCCTTCGTGGGTTGTCCGAGAGGCCGTCTTGGGGCGACCCAGGGGGCTTCTTGGGCTGGCGTGGACGTTGTGATCGCAGAAGGGGCGTATGTGCGAAGAATGCAGGTTTTTCCATGGGCTTGTGGCGATGTTTGCTCTTTGAGATCGTCTTGGGACGCCTTTTGAGAGCTTCTTGGGGCGTCTTGGGGGCCTCTTGGGCCGTCTGGGGGCCAGCGTGGGCGTTTCGATAGATCTGTCGGCGGCTTGTGGCCCGCTTGGACCGTCCAGAGGGCCTCTTGGTGCCCTCTTGGCGTTTTTTTTTAAAAGGCTTTTTGAGCGGTCTTGGGGCCTTCTTGGGTCGTCTGAGAGCCCTTCTGGGGGCCTCTTGGGCCGTCTTGGGGCGACCCAGGAGGCTTCTTGGGCTGTCTTGGACGTTGCGATCGCAGAAAGGGCGTATGTGCTAAGCATGCAGGTTTTTCCATGGGCTCAGGGCGATGTTTGCTCTTCGAGATCGTCTTGGGACGCCTCTTGAGAGCTTATTGGGGCGTCTTGGGGGCCTCTTGGGTCGTCTGGAGGCCAGCGTGGGCGTTTTCGATCGATCAGTCGGCGGCTTGTGGTCCTCTTGGACAGTCCAGAGGGCCTGCTGGTACCCTCTAGGCCTCTTGTTTGGGGCTTTATGGGCGGTCTCGGGGCCTTCTTGAGTCGTCTGAGAGCTGTCTTGGGGGCCTATTGGGCCGCCTTGAGGCGTCCCAGGAGGCTTCTTGGGCTGTTGTGGACGTTGTGATCGCAGAAGAGGCGCATGTGCTAAACATACAGGTTTTCCCATGAACATGGGGCGATTTTTGCCTTTTGAGATCGTCTTGAGACGCCTTTTGAGGGCTTCTTGGGGCGTCTTCGGGGCCTCTTGGGCCATCTGGAGACCAGCGTGGGCGTTTTCGATCGATCTTTCGGCGGCTCGTGGCCCGGATGGACCGTCCAGAGGGCCTCTTGGTGCCCCCTTGGCCTGTTTCTGGGGCACTCTGTCCCCCCGTGGCGCGTTCGGGCCCAGGGGACCCCCCCCTCCAAATCGACAGGACTGGGCTCCCGGGGGAGGGGTTTGGGGAGAGGGAAACGTTTCACACGCCGACGAATCCCAATGGGTCGGCGGATTCATGCAGATCGTTTCTCCTTTTCCGGCTTTTTCTTCCGCGCAAGCTGGCGAAATCACAGCGATTTCGGTGGATTTGCAAGAGGTCGCCGCAAGCTCGGTGAAAGCCGCTAGAAGCAGGTCTTGAAGCCGAGCACGCCTTTAGGTTTAAAAAACTTGCCACATGAATGTGCCACGATGTTCGTAGTAATCGCCTAGACGTCTAATGTCACGTTTTGTTCAGCTCGAGAACCCCAAGAGGTCCCAAGAGAAGTCCAGGGTACATTCAAATCTGCGTCAAGGGACTTCGACGCCTCCTCGACGGCGAAGATGGCTCCAACAGCGTCGAACAGGCTCGCAAGAGGCCCAGTGAGTGCCCCGGGATGACGCTCCAGATACCCACGACAAGCAACATTCATTCGTTTCCCCAGCTTTTCCGTCTGGTTTTACCCGATCTTCCAGACTGAAGTCCCCCCGACGGCCGACGAGGCCTCCCAGACGGCCCCACGCGTCCCCGACGGCTCCAGAAGTCTTCAAGCTCGCGCCAAGATGGGTAAACGAGCTCGGGAAGGAGGATGCCAGGGACGCTGGCAGGCGTAGGGGGCGGAAGCCGCGATTGCACGGGGGAGTCCATAGTTTCATCCAAGGTGGCTCCAAAACAACCGCAGAACTCCCACAGTGCCCCCGCAGGGGCCCCCCAGCCTACGATGCCCTCGCGCTTCCCCTTCGGACGTTTTGGATTTTCGAGGTCGCACATCGGGGGCGCGAGGAGAGTCGCGCTTCGCGCGTCGCCATCCGGGCCAAAGCGGTTGCCCTCGTCCGAGAGGGTGGCGCGGGGGCACGGTGGCGCGGAAGCATCCGCGCGCCGCAATGCGCGGCGCGATGCGATGAGTCATTTCGCTCGGCTGCCCTCCGTACCCTCATCCTGAGCCTCCTCAGGCTAGTCTCCTCCTCTCCTCCTCCTCCTCCTCCTCCTCCTCCTCCTCATCATCATCATCATCATCATCATCATCATCATCATCATCACCATTTTCCCCCTCCTTCTCCTCGAGCTCGTCATCTCCATCGTCCTTATCCTGGGTCCTCCGGCGTGGCGCGAGGAAGGCCGCGCTCGGCGAGTCGCGGTCTGGGTTGGAGAGAGGCGCCCTTCTTCAGGGCAGCGGCGCGGTGGCGTGACGGGAGCCGTGCGCCGCGCGCCGCGGGGCGCGAAGCTGTGGGACCTCGTCGCAGTGGAGGCCCATGCCAAGACACACTCTGCTTGCCTCCTCCTCCTCCTCCTCCTCCTGGGTTTCTCGGGTTTCCATGGTCTTGCGATGGAAAGCGTGACGTTCCCACGCTTACAAAAATTAGTGGACGTCCTGGGGTCTCTCAGAGTTGGGCTTCTTGTGGACTGGCCTCCACTGTGTGTGACCTCGTCATATTCCGCATCGTCTCTCCTCCCTCCCGGTTGACCCAAAAGGGGGTGGTGCAACAGAGCTGGTGCGATGGATTTGCGGGTTGCCATAGATTTCGGGCGTGCAATACATTCCTGGGCGCAGATGTCTTGCTGGATTTTCGCGTGCAATGCATTCGTTGCAACGCAATGCAATACAATTCTCTGGCGCAGTACATTTGCAAAGCACTTGCCCCAAATCTACTGCACCATCCCCTTTCAGCCGGACCCCCTCTAGGGTCAACCGAACTCCTCCCCTGCCCTTGGTTGGTGGAGAGCTGGGGAAGAGGGGGAGGCGCGGGGCAGTATCGGGGGGGAGTGTGCGCCTACAAGTGCGTATACTCATGTTTCCTTGTTCACCCTCGCCCTAAGCTTGAGAGCAATCGCGCCTTTAGCAGCGAACTGGTTTTCTTGGGCTTGGAAACCCAATTTTCGTGCTTACCCGAGCATGGGCATTCTTCTGCGTAGTACGAATGCTAGGCTCCAAGACAAGTAGTTCCCGAGTGCCCGTGAACCGCGCGCGATTGCTCCAGTGTTTTTTCTCGGAGGGAGGCCATCTACCTTTCGCCTCTTCCTCCCCCGCCTTCTGTCCCATGCTTCCCTTGAGGGGAGAGCGAGGAGAGAGAGATTGATGCTTTTCATTCTCGTAGGTTGACCGCTGCCCCACTTGTACTGCGGGTGCCCGTTAGGCAGCTTGGGGAACTGGGGGGATGGGAGTGCGGGGGGTGAGGGAGGGGGAGGTTTGCGGTGGTTTTCGGACGTTTTCGGGTGCCGTTTAGAGGGATCGGCAAGGTTTTTAGATGGGGAGGGAGAGGGGGGGAGCGGAGAGAGAGAGAGAGAGAGAGAGAGAGCGAGAGAGAGAGAGAGAGAGAGAGAGAGAGAGAAAAAAAAAGAGAGAGGTTGCGCACTATTCCCCAATCAGAGCTTGCCTCTGTAGGGGTCCTAGCGGATTCATATGATTAGGTGAGGTGCGTCGCCGATATTGGTGGCCGCCCGGGTGCCCGGGGGCCCTGGTGCCTGGGCGTGCCTGGGGGTGTCCGGGGGTGCCCGGGTGCGAGGGTGCCCGGGTGCCCAGGTGCCCGGTAGCCCGGTAGCCCTATAACCCTATAGCCTCATAGCCTTATAGCCCTACAGCCTTATAGACCTATTAGCCCTATAGCCCTATAGCCCTATAGCCCTATAACCCTATAGCCCTAATCGCCCTACACCCCACATTGTCCAATAAGCCCTAAAAACCCTATAGCCGTACAGCCCTATAGCCCTATAGCCCCATAGCCCAATAGCCCTATAGCCTGTAGCCCCATAGCCCCATAGCCTTATAGCCCTAAAGCCCTATAGTCCTATAGCCCTGTAGCCCCATAGCCCTATTGCCCTAGACAATTTCGGATTGTTTTTTCTTCTCCGATATCATGCAGAAGACTCCCGCGCGGACCGTCAATTTGGAAGCAAGTGTGCTATTTTATCGCTCCTCTCGCAAAGGGGGATTCGCTGGAGGCGGGATGGGCGGGTCTATTGCCGCTCGCTAGAATTGAAGGTGCTAGGTTTGCCAGCATGGAGGCTCACGGTGGGCAACTTTCCATGCGCTGTGCTCCACCTGCTCATCGTTCGCGGTATGCGCGCCTGACCTCGTGCATCCGAGTCCTGGGCAAGTGTCAGGTCTTCATCTGGTGTTCATTGAGACTGCTTTTTGCATTCTCGCGTCTTGCTTGCCACGCCAGGACCAAGATGGCGTCGGGTGCACAGCGCTTCGGTCTGCTTCCCTTCTAACGCATTGGGTGGAGTATCGTGTATAGTGGTGATGAAACAATTGGTATCGCAGCGAGGTGTGCGTGATGCGGTCGTAGTGGCGGGTCTGATTGGAAATGTGCACGTGTAGCAGATGTTGGGTTTGATGTTGTCGCTGATGATGTCGACTGCGATGCTTATCTGTTTGTCAATAATTTCATTACCTTCTGGCTACACCCTGGACCTCCTATTAAGCATGTCTGGAGGGCCATTGTTGTGCAACCCAGGCTGGTCTGGCAAGCCACTTGGGGTCTACCAGGGCCTCTTGATTAGGCCACCCGCTTGGCACGAGCAGGTGCGTGAGGGCTGTGCCAGTGCCTGATGTGGATATGATGACGATGGGATGGAGAGGTAGGAGGAGTAGGAACGGGACGAGAAGGGTCATGAAGAGGAGGAGAACAGACAGGAGGTAGATGGCTGCTGATGATGATACTGACGATGATGATGACGATGATGCTGCTGCTGATGGTGATCGTGATGGTGATGATGATGATGATGATGATGATGATGATGATGATGATGATGATGATGATGATGATGGTGAAGAAGTGATGATGCTGCTGCTGATGATGATACTGCTGATGATGCTGATGATGACATTGCTGCTGATGATGCTGATGATGATGACGATTATGGTGATGATGATGCTCCTGATGCTGATGCTGATGCTGATGCTGATGATGACGATGATGACGATGATGATGCTCATGACGATGATGACGATGATGCTGCTGATGATGATGCTGCTGCTGATGATGCTGATGCTCTGATGATGATGCTGATGCTCTGATGATGCTGATGATGAAGATGGTGATGGTGCTGGCGATGGTGATGGTGATGATGATGCTGATGATGGTGATGCTGATGGTGATGATGATGATGCTGATCGTGGTGATGGTGATGATGATGATGATGATGATGATGATGATGATGATGATGATGATGATGATGATGCTGCCGATGCTGATGCTGCTGCTGCTGCTGCTGCTGATGATGATGATGATGATGATGATGATGATGATGATCAGGAGGAGGAGGAGAATGAGGAGGAGGAGGAGGAGAAAGATGAGAAGAAGGGAGGAGGTGAGGTGGAGGAGGAGGCGACGTGATGTCTCAAACGGTCATTTCGATGAACGGGGTTCTGTCTTTGTCGGTGGAATGCGCCTCCCGTCCCCGCAGATGCTCCCTCAGCTCGGCCCTGGCCCGCGGCTGTCCCTGGCCCTGGTGTTGCCCCTCTCTTGGGCCGTCTTCGGGCTGTTTGGGGCCCTCTTGGGCCGTCTTAGGGCGATCTGGGAGCCTCGTTGGGCCGTCCAGGGGCGATCTCGCAGGCCCCTGGAGCCGTCTTGAGCCGCTCTTGGTTCGAAATGGCGACAGTGTCAAACTATTTCAAAAACGTTCTGGGACATCGAAGCGCGGGCCGTCCTCAGGGTCTTCTTGGGCCGTCCCGAGAGGCTCCTGGCCTGTCATGGGGCCTGCTTGTGCCGTCTTGGGGCTCTCTTGGGGGCCTCTTCGGCATTCTCGGCGCGTGTTGGGACCGCTGGCTAGGCCTGGCCGGGACCTCAAGGAGCCCCGGAAATTTGTGGGAACCCTCTGAACGGGTGTCCACGAGGTTCTGGGGGCCAGGGATCCAGGAGGTCCACTGGGTCCCTGAAGCCCAGGATCTGGGGGGTCCGCTGTAAGGGGGAGGGGTCAGCTGTATATATATATAGACATATGTATGGTCGCTGTATGTATGCAGATATGTATGCAAACATTAATGTCTACATGTATACGTGCATGCATGCATGCATGCATGTGTGTATGTATGTATGTATGTATGTATGTATGTATGTATGTATGTATGTATGTATGTATATATGTGTATGTATGTATGTCTGTCTGTCTGTATGTATGTATGTATGTATGTATGTATGTATGTATGTATGTATGTATATGTGCATGTATGCATGCGTGTATGTACGTATGTATGTATGTATGTATGTATGTACGTATATATGTATGATGTATGTATTTATGTATGTATGTATGTATGTACGTACGTACGTACGTGCGTACGTATGTATGTATGTATGTATGTATGTATGTATGTATGCATGCATGCATGCATGCATGCATGTATGTATGTATGTATGTATGTGTGTACGTATGTATGTATGTATGTATGCTTGTATGTATACATGCGTGCATATGTGTAGGTGTGTACGTGTGTATGTTTGTATGTGTGCATGCATGCATTCATATATGTATGCATGCACGCATGCATGCATGTGTACATGTATGTATGCATGTATGTATGCATGTGTGTATGTATGTATGTATGCACGCATGCATGCACGCATGCATGCATGTGTACATGTATGTATGTATGCATGTATGTATGCGTGTATGCATGTATGCATGCATGTATGTATGTGTGCGTGTACGTATGTATGTATGCATGTATGCATGTATGTATGTATGTATGTGTGTATGTATGCATGCATGCATGCATGCATGTATGTATGTATGTATGTATGTATGCATGTATGTATGTATGTATGTATGTATATGTGCATGCATGCATGTGTGTAGGTACGTATGTATGTATGTATGCAACCATGTATGCATGCATAGATATCTATGCATGTATGTGCGCATGCATACATCTATATATGTATGAACGTATGCGTATGTCTATGTGTATGTCTCTGTGCGTGTATGTATGTATGTATGTATGTATGTGTGTGTGTATGTATGTATGTATGTATGTATGTATGTATGTATGTATGTATGTATGTATGTATGTATGTATGTATGTTATGTATGTATGTATGTATGTATGTATGTATGTATGTATGTATGTATGTATGTATGTATGTATGTAATGTATGTAATGTATGTAATGTATGTAATGTATGTAATGTATGTATGTATGTATGTATGTATGTATGTATGTATGTATGTATGTATGTATGTATGTATGTATGTCTGCATGTATGCATGTATGTATGTCTGTCTGTCTGCCTGTCTGCCTGTCTGTCTGTCTGTATGCATGCATGCATGTATGTATGTAGGCATGTATAGTTGCATACATGTTTTCATGCATGTATGTGTGTGTATGCATGTATGCACGTATGGATGTATGCAGGCATGTAAGGTATGGATGCATGTCTGTCTGTCTGTCTGCCTGCCTGCCTGCCTGCCTGTCTGTCTGTCTGTATGTATGTACGCATGTACGTACGTATGCATGCATGTGTGATGTATGTATGTATGCATGCATGCATGCATGCATGCATGCAGGATGTATGTCGGCATATACACATACATGTATATGCTAGGTGGACCACTTTTTCGCCCCCCCTGACCCTCCCACGCCTTCCAGGGCCGACCTGGCGCCTCCAGGTCGCTGTGCCCGCGACGACGGCGAGGTGGACCTCAACGCCGAGCTGGGGCGCCCCGCGTTCGCGGGCGGTGGCCGCGGCCTCGGGCTGCGCCAGCGCGCGGCGCGCGCGCGGACCTCGGCAGGCGCGGGCAGACGGGCGGGCGTCGGTGGCGACGTGGGGCCTGGGAGGGATCAGTGTGGACAAGGGGTGGGCGACGGGAAACGGAAGCGGGGGTTGGGGGGGAAGGCCCTCCCCGCCCCCCTCCCTCTGCCTTGTGTCCCCCGTCCCCCCGCGCTCTTCCTCCTCCCCCTCCTTACAGCTCAGAGCTGCGGTCAGTTGATCCTTGTGAGAGGTGCTGCCCTCGCGCGTCCTCTCCCCATCAGCGCAGGGCTTGATGGTGGGCGTTCGAACGTGCGCCCGCGAACGGGGGTCCCCGGAGGGGGCACGACGGGGGGAACGATGCGAGGAGGAGCAGCGGGAGGAAAAGGCAGAAGGGAAGGGAGGAGGACAGGGGAGGGCAGCAGGGCACGAAGGAGGTGGAAAAGAGGGGAGGGGAGAAGGGGCCTCCCGAACCCCAGAGGGCCCCCAGAGAGCCACCCCAAGAAGGGCGAAGAGGAGGACGGGAGAGCGAGGACGGGGGGAGGAACGGCGGGGGGAGCGAGGGCGCCAGGAGGGTCCCTTCCGTGGAGGGGGGGGGGGTCCTGCTCGACCTGCGCGCTGTCCTCCCGCCCTCCGTCCTCCTCCTCCTCCTCCTCCTCCTCCTACGCCTTCCGTCTTCCTCCTCCTCCTCCCCTTCCTCCTCGCCTCTCCCGCCGCCCCGTCCCACGGGGCAGCTGCGGCGGGCCTCCTCGGCGCAGGTGGCCCGCTGGAGGGGGAAGGCCTCCGGGCGGCCGTCGGCGCCGCGCAGCGCAGGCTGGAGTGTGCGGGTGCGGGCCCCTGCTCGGTCGCCCTGCTCCGGGGCTAAGTTGGGCAGGTTCCTCTACGGGAGGAGTGTTCAAACATAGTCAAAAAATATGATGGGAACGATCTTTCGACTACCTTTGACTATTTTTGAAGATTGTTTGAGTTTTTTTTTTTTTTTTTTTTTTTTTTTTCTCTTCGTCCAAAATCCGCCCGTAGGGGGACATGCCCGACCTAACTGGGGCTTTGGCGGGCTCACTCCCAGCAGCCCCCCCCCGATCTCTCGACGGCGCCAGCGCGCGAAAGTCAAGAGGAACACTGCTGCGGGTCCCGCGGTGCTCTTCGTGCGGCACTCTTCGGGCTTCGCGCTAGGACCCGCGGAGGCACAGAGAATGCAGGCTCGGGTGGAGGGAGGGAGGCTGCTCGGGGTTGCGCTGAGCGTTGCAATTCTCCCCTTCCGCCTGTGAACCTCATCGATGGGGGGGGGTGGCAGAGGAGTGCGCCCCTCCCGAGGGAGAGAGGCCAACTCCCGTGGGTTGGCCCACGCATGCGGGCAGAGCGGCCGGGCCTGGTTCTGATGCCCGCGTGGGTGTGCAGTCTCGCTCCAGAAGCGGCGGGATTTCGCTCCGGGCGTCCTCGCCTCGCCGAGGGTTCATCGGGCTGTCGAGCGCGGCGCTGGAGCTGCGCTGGCATGCCATGCACTTGGCGCAGACCCATCAGTTGGACTGGCAGTCCAGGCCGGCCGCACCCTGAACAGTGCGGTGCTGGCATGTGTCGCATGTGCCTCTGTCTTCGCTCTGGATGTGCGAGAGCGGATGACCCTGGTAGCTGCACCTCCCCCGGTGGTTGCCATCTCTGCCTTCGGTCTGGTGTGAGACGTCTCAGTACCGTTTAACCGACCCCCATCCCCATCCCCATCCCCTTCGAGACTCCCACTAAATTACCCCCTCAGTTGGGGATACACCCCTCGAAACCCGAAGGGAACGGCCTATCTCCCCATCTAGGGGGGTAATCGGCAAGTGTTGCCCAGGCCACGCCGCTGGGGATGGAGATCGGTTAAACGATGCTCAACGTCTGCACGCCATCCAGTTTCACGGCGTATGCCTCCAGGGAGATCAATCCCAGGTCGCGGCAGCAGCGGCAGCGGCCGCTGCTGCCGCGACAGGCGGGCGGCACCCGCGCTGCGCGGGCGGGCGCGCTGGCGGCACGCTCGCCCGGTCTGGCCTGTGCTGCCCCTGGCGGGGCTCCAGCGTCGGCCAGAGGCCGAGGGTCGGACTGCGGGACGTCGTAGGCGTGGTCTGAATCCGTCTCGGCCTCCCCGTGCTCGGCGATGGTGACCTGCTATGCTCTGCTCCAAAGCTGCTTGCCGTCCAGGTCGTCGGCAGCCTCAGGCGATGCCTCCTCGGTCGCGAAGCGGTTCAAGGTGTGGCGGGCGCAGACCTGGCTAGCTGTGATGGGGCCGAAGAGACCGAGGGTGGCCTGGGCGCCGCCCATGTCGACGGTCCCTGCGCGGTCCTCGACGCGCACGGTCCTGCGAGGGGTAGCTTCTCTTCGGACACGAGCGGAACATCTGGGAACCCCGACCCCGACCGGCGGGACATCGGCAGCAATGTAGTTCTGCTGTCCGATCTGGGCACCTCTGCTTCCCACGCTTCCCTCCTATCCGAAGAGGATCGTCTACCAGGCGATGAACCCCACGGGCGAGGTTGACTTACATGGCGACTCAGGATGTCGACGCCTGAGTGGAGACGCCGACGACGACGTCAAAGGCTATGGTATTCGCGGGGCAAACCTGCCACGACGTGGAAACACGTTATCCGGTAAGCCTGTCGTTCACTTGATTAATGCGTACTGCAAGTCTCACCGCTTGCAGGTCCGCTCGAGCTATTCAGCAGAGACACTAGCAGCAGCCCATAATTTGGAGGACTGTTATCCCACGATTGTGACTCTGCACGAGCTCCACGCGGGGCCGCTCACGCCCACTCAGTTGAAATATATACTTGAGTTGGGTGGCCTGAGCATCAAGGTCACTTTGACCCTCGATGCTGAGTATCTTTTTAAATCCTTGTCAAGCAAAAACTTGAACCAGCCGACTGAATGTACCCTTTCAGGACACATCAGTTGGATACGACAGATGATGGAGCGTGGAATCGTGCACAGCATTCAGTGGTGTGATACCCGCGATATGACTGCGGATGGCCACACCAAGGGGGGCATCGACAGAGAAATGCTCCTACAAGTCATGGGAGGTATACAGTCCTTCGGACATGACCTGAAGAGACATACTCCATATCGGGCCGGCCAGACATCAAGTTCTGACGCCGCCTGATAAATATGTCATCATACACATGCGAGGCAACTTGCTAGCGGGTCCACTTTCCTTTGGCCCGTTTTTTTGTCCTGTCCTTGCGTAGGTTAGCTGCTATGCGTGCTGTACAGGGGCGACGGGCTCACGCTTCGTCTCCTCCCCCCGACTCCAAAGCGAGCTGAGGGACGTAAGGGGTGGAAGCGAGCGTGCGCCCGCGGCCTCGTCGGCTCAAGCGGCCGGCCGCCCAAATTTGACTGTGCCTCGCCGGGAGGCACACAATCGCTATCGAGACCAAAAAGGATCTTCCTATTGCTTGAGATGGCATCCTCTCATACAGGGACTATCGTTACTACGGTACAACAGAGCGGGAGCTTGGCTTCGCTTGAAGCGAAGCTGTTGGCTGGGCCTTCCAGCCCCCTTCAAACTGGGTGTGCTCGCCCGGGTCACAGCCGTTACGCGACAGAAGGTAAAAACCCGATCTCCTCGATGTGGCCCGAGGACCCAGCAGCAGCTCCTCGGCGCCAGTTCGCCGGCGCGGACGAGGCGGCCCCGAGGTGGCCTCCGCGATGGCTTCGGACATCCCGAGGAGCCAACCGACGACAACGGCGGGCCTCATGGAGGGTGGCCTCCGAGAGGGCTTCGGGTCCCAGCCATGCGACGTCCTGATTTTTATCGGGACGGCGCCCCTGGAAACCCCGACCCTCTCCCCAGGACCGGCTCTTCGTCCCGAGAGTCGTTTTTTTGACGGCGTGAGGGCCCAGCGAGGGCCCCCCGGTGCCGAAGATAACGAACAACCTCCCGCCCTGATTCTTTTCGACGCCAGCATGTCTGGGGTGGCCCGAGGTGGCCTTCGGCGTGCCTCCGAGGAGGATGAGGAGGAGGAGGAGGAGGAGGAGGAGGAGGAGGAGGAGGAGGAGGAGGAGGAGGAGGAGGAGGAGGAGGAGGAGGAGGAGGAGGAGGAGGAGGAGGAGGAGGAGGAGGAGGAGGAGGAGGAGGAGGAGGAGGAGGAGGAGGAGGAGGAGGAGGAGGAGGAGGAGGAGGAGGAGGAGGATGTGGCCTCCGGCATGCCTCCGAGAGGCCGGCCTGCGACCCCGCCGGCCGCTCGCCGAGGCCCCAGCAGCAGCTCCTCGGCGCCAGCGCCGGCACGGAGGAGGGGTCTCCCTGCGGGCGGGCGCGTCCGCTGTCCTTCAGCCACGCGCAGAGGGGGGTGGATGGAGGGGGGAGGGCTTCTTAGAAGCACCCCTGCTTCTTAGAACGCGCGGGCCTTATCTATAGATGTAAGGCCGGGGCCTTCTAATAAGCAGCCTTCTTCTAAGAAGCTTTCCCCCCTCCCTCCACCTCCCTCGTGCGCACCGCCAAGCCCTGCCGCCCGCTGGCGAGGGGGCGTCGGCGGCGTCGGCGCGTCTGGAAGAAGTCGGGGCGGAGGTTTTTCCTCGTGTCGGCCTCTCGGGCCCTCGCCAGGCCTCAGGACGGTGAATCCACGACGCAGGAGTAAAGATCGGTCCCCGTGGGGTGAAGTGGTCGAGAAGCCGGAAGCCCCGATCGCGAACCGAATCCAGACGCTGGCTGTCTGCATCTGGCGATGCCATTTTTGTGTGCCCGCGGTCCCAGAGCTCCCAGCCACTCTCGCGGGGGCAGTTTTCTGTCCTCGAGCCACTTTGGTTCGGCCGGGGGCCGGGAACGGCCCCCCCGGGCCGAAAGGAGTCGGCCCATCCCTGGCCTCGGTGTCGACGGCGCTGTCGTGGGCGCCCACGCCTTCGACGATGCGACTGGTCCCTCGTAGCTTTTCACGGTCGAGGGTTGACTTTCTAGTGGTGGTAGCGAAGAGGACCGCGCAGAAGGCTCACAGGGGGGGCGGGGGGGCACGGGGAACCCCCTGTCGCCGTTCCCGGACGGACGTTTCGCCTCCGATTTCCTCACAGCTTCTTCAGGAATTGGGGGCTCCCAGCGCGGATCCACGAAGTCCGCGCGGAGCGCCACGAGTTTATGTTTGTGCCGTTCGTCTTCTCTTAATATTGTGCTCTCGTCTCGATGCTGGCCGCACTCTTGCTCGGGACGGCCACGATCCCTCTCAAAGTCACGCTGCGGCGCACGTGGCCGTGCTCCCACCCCTGTGCCCGACAGCCGACCTCGGACTCCCCGCCCGACTCGCCTGGAAGCTGCGATTCGGGTGCTCTGCTGAGGTGTCTGTGCTAGGGGGCCAGTATCAGCGGAAGAGGTTCGCTCTCGCCCCGCAGACCAAACACTGTGTTAGGTGGCCACACGCGAACCCTACCCCTACCCCCCACGATTTCTGAGGGGGAGCGTGGGGTTCACTTTGTTCGGGAGCCCCCGAGCGAAGTGAACCCCCACCCCTCCCCCTCAGAAATCGTGTGGGGGGGTAGTAGGGTTCGCGTGTGGCCCCCTGTGTGTGACCGCGGCCCCAGAGCTCCCAGCTATTTCCCGGGGTCGGTCTTCCGTCCCCAGGCCGGGTCTTTGGGCCCCAGGGACCGAGCCCGACCCGCCGAGCCGACATGCGTGCAGCAAGGACCCAGCGCTGGAGTGCTCGGCCCTCTTCCTTCTGCTGTCCTCTTATCCCGCGCTGCTTTTTTGCGGCCGGGTGTCCCGAAAAACGGCTTCTGCATGCCGTAACAGGGCGATAAGCATGCGGCGCGATATTTTCGAGTCGCCAGAGGTCTGAGTCTTCTCCCGCAAGAAATGGCCCCGTCGGCGCGCTCCGGCCAGGATCTCGAGGGGAAGCTGCTCGTGGCGACGAGGGTAGCCCAGCATATTCCGAAACATCCCCATGACGTCCATGCCTCTCTTCGATCTCCTCGAGCCTCGAACGTTCGATCTTCCCCCTCCTCGCTCCCCTCGCCCAGGAGCGTGGGCTTTTGGGAGTGGCTGAACCGAGACTGGGACACGGAGGCGCCGGCCAGCGGCTCTTCTCTCTCTCTCTCTCCCTCTCTCTCTCTCTCCTCCTCCTGCTTCTCCTCCTGCTTCTCCTCCTGCTTCTCCTCCTCCTCCTCCTTCTCCTCCATGCCTCCTCCTGAGACGCCGGTGGTCGACGGCTCCGACAATCCTCGCTTCACGGGAGTCTACCCCAATTCAAAGATGCGTTCGCTTTACGCTTCGTTAACGCTCAGCACGGAGCCGCCAGCTGCGCCCTGTTCGCTTCGGACAAGGTGCGCCGACAGCTCCGATCCCTTCGTGTGCCATGCTCCCGAGCCACCAGGCCCGCCCAGCCGCAAAGGGCACCAGCTACGCCATCTTGTGGCGCAACATCCGAGACACATGGATCGCTGCAAATCAAGCTGCCCAGCGTCACCACCCCTCGTGTCTGCTGGAGTTGCCGTCAGTATATGGGACCCCATGGGCTCCCGCCGACCTTCAACTGGACAACCTGACTCGCTCCTTCGACGCCGAGCACAGGCGCTGCAGCCAGCGCGACAAGCACACCCGCGTCACCAGCTGGCGCGGCCTCGTGGGAGCCAGAGGCGGCGGCCGCGCTAGAAGCAAGTGGGTCAAGGCTGCTGGCAACTCCTCCTCCTCCTCCTCCTCCTCCTCCTCCTCCTCCTCCTCCTCCTCCTCCTCCTCCTCCTCCCTCCCCCTTCCGCACCCCACACCGCACCCCACACAACGGGCCTCCACATGCTCCACCAGGCCCTGGCCCTCAGGCCCAGGACGACGGGCCTCACCAGGCCCAGAGGACTGCCACCGGGCCGCGCGAGGTGCACTGGGCCCTGGCGACGGGCCCCCAGGCCCCACCCTCAAGTTCGAGGACGCCTCCGCTGACGTCCCCTCCAGACGCCCTTCGAGAGGCCACGGGCGGCTCTGATTGCCAGGTCCCTGCGTCCCAGAAAAGACTCAGCACATCCTGGCGGACGCCAGAGCCGTGCTGAAGCTCACGATCGACACCTCGGACCCCGTTCTAGGGCGCTGCCGATCCACAGGCTCCTGGGCGGACGGAACCTCGCCCGCACGGGACGCCCTTCGGTCGAGTGCCATCGCGAACTCCCCGACGCGGTCCCCGCACAGGCCTTCGTCCTGACGGACGAGGCCCTCCTCGGCTTCGTCCGCACTCGGCCATCGTGTCGAGCCGGGGGCCCTGACGGCTGGACCACCAGAGAGGCCAGGACGCTCCCCAACAGAGTCCTCCGCCCATTCGGCAAGGCACTGCGGGCCATGCGAAGTGTGGACCAAGTGCTGGAGCCCCTCCTCCACATTCCAGACCAGTGCCCCCGCAACTGCAAGGGTGAGCCGCCTGCTGACCATCGCTTTCTTTCCATAATACCCGTCTGGATGTGTGCCTGGAATGCCCCAGCCTACCGTGCTCTGGCGACCTGGCGGTCTCACAGGGCCCGCCCAACCAGCTTCGGTGCGGTCCCCCACGCCACCATAGGTGATGTCAGCACCTCCCTCGCGATCCATGTCGGGCATATCCGTCTGCTCCTCTTGTCTTTCGCGGGAGTCGCTCTCGACCGACCGGAGTGTTTCGGTTGTTTGGTCGCGGGCCGCAACCTGGCCCTTCATGCGGGCTGCCCCCTGGACATCGTGGAGGTGCGGCGCGACGTTACATGCGACACGCCTTTGAGACATCCGCATCGGTGGGGCATGCTCACCGCCGCTGGCCCGCGCCAACGAGCACCTCCCCGGTAGCTCTTTCTCATTGGGTGACATCGAGCTCCGCGTATGCGTCTTGGCGAGGCGGCGACGCCGACGCGTCCCGAGGTCACTCTGCACCATACTTGTGGATGACAGCCACTCCGCGGCTCCCGCGGCGGCAAAGCTGGACGTCCGCGTGAGCCAAACGGTCCGTTGCGACCAGCTCTCTGGCCAGATGATGCACCCTGGCAAAGGTTGCTGGCTGGGCGCCGCGGGGCTGCGATGGGCATGCGCGGCCGCGGACGGCGCCTGCTCGCATCGGGCGGGCCCCCTCCTCGCCCCGTGTGGACCGCGGCGTTTCTTGCGGCCCGTGTCGCCGCCTCGACAACTCGGCGCGGGCCCGCAGCCTGGCCCAGCCGGCGCTGCGGGCCGACGCCCTGGCTCTCCTCCAGCCTGGCGGCCGGGGCGGAGCGCTTCGTGCACGTCTTCGCTGACAGCTGGGCGGTGGTCGACGGGCTTGAAGGCCTCCTCGCCGGCCACCCTCAGGTGACGGGCCCCCATCTGCTGACTTGACGGCGCATCCGCCGCGTGGTGCAGGCCAAGCCTGATTTCTTCCGCGTTGAACATGTCAAGAGCCACCTCGGCGACCAAGGGGTCAACGACGGTCTCATCACGCGCCTCCACCAGCTGCCGCGGGAGTTGGCTGACGCGGCTAAGTGGCGCCATGAGTTCGCGGCAGTGCTTCGCAGCGCGGCGGTGGCCATCTACGACCGTCGTCGCCGCGCCCTGCCCCTCCCTGACCGTCAGGCCAGGTGCGCGAAGAGTGAACTGCACCGCATGGAGCTCAAACCGCCGATCTCTGGCACGCCTCCCCCAGGCCCGCCGGGCCCGCGGGGGCCTGGCCCCCCAGGACCCCGCGGCTTGCCAGGGCCCGACGACTTCGGCGACCTCGACGACCCCTTGGGCAACCCCTGGAGACTTCGATGCGGACGATGAAGGCCCGCTCGAACTCGGTGGTGCTCTTGACGACGACGACGACGACGACGCTGAGTCCACTTGGCGCGCTCCAACTCATGGCCCACCCCGCCAGGATGCTCCCGCTCCAGACAAGGTCGTCAGTTGCGACGTGTGCGACGGCGACGACGAAGACCAGGCCGGCTTTGGCGGCTCCCTCCCTTGCAACGGGCCAGGTGACCACTGGGCCTCGCGGGTCTCCCCGTGTCCCTGCCCGCCTTCCATCGAAGAACCAAAAGACGCCATAAGCAGACATTTTTTGGCGCTCTGCGCGGAGCACCATCAGTTTTTGTTTATGCCGTTGTTTGTTTCGCTATTCCACCGGACTCATGGTGCCCTGGCGGTGCCTGGGCCAGCTCCCCACCCCCTCCCGGGGACCAGTGCCTGGACCTGCCCCCGACCGCCTCCCAGGAGAAGACGCGCGCGGGGGCGGCAAGGCGTCGTCGAACGCTGCTGCGGGCAAGGCCGTGCATTCTCCTGCGACGGGGCCGTCGCCCCAGACCGCGGTGCTGGCGAGATCCACCGAATACCCCAGCATCCCCCTTCCGTGCCATCCGCCGCCGGGCGCGCGCTCCCCCCCACCCACTAGGGGGCTGGCTGTCTGGGCGGAGATCTCCCCGCCCACCAGGGAAGCGGGCATCCCCCCAGGGACGGTCGGTCGCCCCCCCCCCGACTGGCGCCTTGCACTCACCCACTCCCTCGCGGAGGACCGTCGCCAGGCTGCCTGTGTGTCGGATCTCCGTGCCACGAGCTGCAAGGGGCGCGCTGCGCACCTCGTTGATGGGTGCGTCGCGCCCAGGAGCAGTCGAGGCCTCTCTTCGCCGGGGACGTCACCCGCTTTTCATTTAGGCGAGACTCGACGCCAGGAGCAGTCGAGGCCTCTCTTCGCCGGGGACGTCACCCGCTTTTCATTTAGGCGAGACTCGACGCTCGCCGCCAGTGCAGTAGCTGCTAGCTCTTTTTTCTCTGCGTCCCGTGGGAACGCCTGGATCACGCCGCGGGTTGCGGTCGGGGGTGCCCGTCTGCGACGCCTAGCTGAAGGGGCCTAAAGGCGCGCGCGCCCAAACGTGGTGTACCTGGGCCTCCTATCTCCGTGGGCGTGCAGATCGGGAGTGCCAGTTCTGAACTGAAATGCCTTACTCTGCTTTCTAGCCGTTGTCCTGGGCAGACCGCGCCAGAGGGGGAGGTTTTTCTCGCCATCCCCGTATCCTACATGCGGCTCCTCCCGCCGCAAGGGGTGGGCATCGTGTGGCGCTCGTAGCCCCGCGCCTGGACACGTGGTGTCCGCACTGTTGCGCCATTATTTTCCTCCTTCCCACGCCTCGTCCTCCTCTGCCTCTTCCTTTTCCTCGTCTTTGTCGTCTTTGTCGTCGTCTTTGTCTTTGTCGTCGTCGTCGTCGCCGTCTTTGTCGCCGCTGATGTTGCTGCTGTCATCGTCGTCGTCGGCGTCGTCGTCGTCGTCTTCTTTCGGTAAGCTCGTCGCTCCCTTCCCCCGTGTCCCTGCTTGCCGTCCTTCTCTCCTCTTCCTGTCTCCATGTCCACCTCCGAATCTCTCCTCCGCCCTCTCCTTTCCTCCCCTCCCCATCTCCCTCACCCCCGTTCCCACCCCCTCCTCCATCCTTCCCTGCCCTCCCTGCTCCTGCAAGCGCCCGCACGACGGGGCCCGAGAGCGCTGCGTGCGCGGTTGCCGCAGGAGGGGCCGGCGTGTGGGGCGAGGTCGCAGCACCGCCGCAGCAGCACAAGCCCGCAGGGATGCTTCCAGGAGGAACGGGGCCGCGTACCGAGTGAGCTACGAGGCCCGAGGCGTGCTACGCGTCGTTCTGCCAGACCCTGGTCGGACGACCTGGCCGCGGGACGCAGCACAGAACGAGCAGGCACCGAGTCGCAGACCGCCAGAGCTGCACGAGAGGGGGCCCCGGAGGAGGCCCCGGGCACTGCCCAGAGAAATGCAGAGGCCAAGTCCGTGGACGACTGCCCTGCGGGAGCTGCCTCGTCCAGGGTGCCCTCCTCCGCGGGGGTCGCCGCGCGCTCGCGCCGCGCAGTCCCCTGGCTGGCAGCGAAGGCGGGTGCCGCGCCCACCAGGAGGGAGGGCAGGCGGGAGGGGGCTATCCTTCACAGGAAGGGGGGGGGTAGGAGGGAAATGGAGGAGGAGGAGGAGGAGGAGGAGGAGGAGGAGGAGGAGGAGGAGGAGGAGGAGGAGGGGGGAGAGGACGAGGAGGAGGAGGAGGAGGAGGAGGAGGAGGAGGAGGAGGGAGGAGTTGAAGGAGTGAGAGGAGTTGGAGGAGTAAGAGGAGGACGAGAAGGAGGAG